TAATCTTAATACAATGATCTTTAAATTTTAATCATTGTTGTCCAAATTAGAAATATCTAGAAGGGTTTAACATAAATTGGATCATTTTGTCTTCATATATTACTTGTTCATTGAAATATTTACTCATTAAGTAAAAGAACCAATTATGGTGCTGTCTTTGTTATATATATTTTTGTTAAATTGTTTATAAAAATAAATAAATAAATAAAATAATAATTATAAAAAAATTATCACAAACCACACTCTATCTGCCTTAAAATGTGTGAAAGTTTAGAAACTAAAATAAAATAAACACAAAATTCATTTTAAAAGTAATAATTAATTTGAATAGATTGTGGAATAATTTATTGAACAATATATTACTAATAAGTTTAATTTAATGGTACAAAATGAATTAATTTTAAATATAAATTATAAAGTATGAAAGTTTGACTTAGTAAACCCATAAAAGAGGAGAGTGGAGTTGAATGGATCATGTATGTACCCATTTGAAATCAATGCCAAAAAGCTTTGGTGAAGACTAATTCCTCTCATGAATAAGTGTTCAACAAACTCTACCATTCATCCAATCCAACTCATTTGAATTTGATTGTTAACTTATTTGCTTTATTGGATTTTTGTTTTTTTTTAAATTTTTCTGTTTTTTTTAAGCATATATCTTTGATAAACTATTTTTATGTTTTCTTTTTGTTTTTTAAAAAATAGAAAACTAATTTTGTTTTTTATTTTATTTTTTTAAGTTAGAGAGATAGAGAAATATGCGGAAAATCTAATCTATGTAAAGTAGAGATGACAACAGGATAGGACGGGAGTCGGGATTCCTCCACATCCTGGCTAAAATTTTTAGTCCCCATACCCACCTCATTCTTCAATTTCGAGAATCGAAGTCCAGATTGAGGAATTCTTGTTTGGAGAAGCCATTTTTTGCAAGAAAATTATCGGTTTATAATTAATTTTAATTATTTATGGAATTTAAAGAATGTTGACGGAGAATTTTGGAGAGGTCCACGTGTCCCTCAGATTGGCACTTGTTCGTCAAGGAGTAAATGAGCCTATAATAAGAAAACTCAATGCTGGTGCGGTGTTGTGCCTAATGCACTGTGACGATCAAGTCCGTAATCAGTAAAAGAAATAGGAGTAGACACCAAGGATTTAGTGAAAGGTTTTTCACTTACTTGGTGGCGATGGGGATCCTTTCCTTTTACAGGTGTAGATGACCGACATGGGAGGATGATGGTTAGAGGTGTAGGGGCACGTCAGGCTGTACGAGACTCTGATGGAGGGTGGTGGTTGTCCCCGACAATCGGTGGGTGGCGCCTCCGTCTGTGGGCTTGTTCCCCTGCAGCTGCAAGTCTCAGGCCACAACCCTCGACCTCTTACTCGTACAGTCCTAGAGGTGATGCGCCCGTACGCACGTACAGTGTATGTTACTAATCATCTATGGTCTCGCACGCACCACGTTGTTGCTCCCAGTGCTCGACACGTGTCCTGCTCGGATTGTAACGAAAAAACGAAGAGAACAACAGAGTGGAAGCAATAGAAAAACTGTATGAAGGAAGAACTTCTATTTATTTAATTAATAATTATTACAAGTATTTATAGGAAAAGTAAATAATTGACCACTAATCCACTACTAGGCCACTGACACACTACTTAGGCCACTACCCTTCAAAACCTCTCTGAACCAACACCATAACCACACTAAGCCATTAAGCTACAAACTCTCTCAACTTCCATCTACTCTTCCCACTGCTTAATTAACTCACAACAACTACAAATTATCCATTAAGCATAACTCTTAAAAAATGGAAACAATAACATAAACTAACACATGTTTGCATTAATTCTTAACATGGATTTCTCCTTCGACAAAGAATAAAAAAAGTAATAAATATATGTAGATCATATCTATTTTATTGAAAAGTTATTATTTACTAGTATAAATAATAGATTTTGAAAAATATTTAATATTTTATTCATAATTTAGTAAAACAATTAATATAATATATATTCATTATTTAAAAATATAACCGGAGATAAGGTCGGGGCATGGTGGGAAATGCATTCCTGTTCTTGGAGCATTGACCCGATTATGTGAAGATTTTTACCATCCCTGATATATAGACATGAAAAGAAAAGTTTAGAGAGAAAAAAAAACTATAGAAAATTAAGTGCAGCCATTGCCTCATTATCATTAACTCCATGATTGCTCCTATCAGCTCTGGAATCTGACCAGTGGTAGTTATTAGCAGAAATCCTTTCCAATATGTCAATTGCTTCTACATACGACTTAGACAACAATGCTCTATTAGCAGATGCATCAACTACCAGGCGTGTTGCTTCACTCAACCCATTGTAGAAGTTCTTTATCTGGATACACCTTGGCAAACCGTGGTATGGGCATCTCCTTAACAATTCCTTGAACCTTTCCCATGATTCGCTCACAGATTCACATGCCTCTGCTGGAAATTATTAATGTCCCCTCGATACTTGGACATTCTTACTTGGGGGAAAGTATTTCATTAAAAACTTCTCAGCAAGATCATTCCAAGATGTAATGGACTCAGCTGGCATAGAGTTTAACCAGTCTCTTACCTTGTCTCTCAGCGAGTATGGAAACAATTTCAAATGCAATGCTTCCTTGGATACTCCTTACATCTTGAATGAGTCACTTACTTCCAGAAAATACCTCAAGTGCAGATGGGAGTCCTCACATGGATTTCCAAAGAATTTCCCCACTGTTTGAAGCATCTGGAACATAACTGGTTTTAATTCAAACCTCTCAGCTTCTATCTCTGGACCTGCTATAACTGGATGAAAACTATGAAGTACTAGTGCAGCATAGGCTCTGATAGCCCTTTCTCCATCATCTGCCAATAGAATGGTGTTAAGAGTGGGAGCAGCTGCTGGTACAACTACTTCAACCATTGGATTAGGGAGTCTTGGTAATTGATCCATTGGGTTAGTTTCCACTTGCTGTCTACGTTGCTCCCTTATTCTCCTAGGAAATGTACATTCAATCTCATTGTCAAGTAGATACTCTAGCCTTTGCAGATCATGCATTCATCTACAAGACCCACCAAACAGTGATTAAAAGAAATCCTTCTAGCACAAACTTTCTCGAGCAAAGATATAAAGTGTACAGTGTAATAAATTCCATGGCAACGACGTCAAAAATTTGTTGAACGATAATGTGTTCCTCATGTGCAAGTATACACGCTCGTTGTAGCAAGTAATAAAAAGTTTGAATCCACAAGGAATGTTCACTAAACATTTTAACAATTCTTCAAGAAAGCTAAAACATAAAAGCAAAATGGTGGGCAACACAAACAACACGGGCAATGTAGAAACTAAACACTGCAATGCACAATAAATACTGTATACCCACACCTAATTTGGATTCAAACCAAATTTTAATCAAAACAGTAAACAATGGATATGGATAACAAATTTCTTTTTATCAGGGTAAAGGAGAAAGTTGAATGTGACTTTTCTAGGCTGCTCAAACAATGCTATAGCATTAACAATTTGAGTACTGGCCAAACAGACATGGAGTCTTTCCAGGTGTCCCATATTTTCTACTATTAGGGTTCATCGACAAACTTAAATAGCATTTAGAAGCAGTTATATCTATGCTAGGTGGGCCCTATTCCTAAGTACCCACCCTCTAACACAAGCAGAATTTAGCACTAAGTTGAAGTTTATCACTCCCTATTACACTTTTCCAAGAGTTAACAAAAAGATATTCCAACAATGGTGATCAAGCATGCTGAAAATAAATTTAAGCACAACTACAACTCAATACTCATTCACCATTAACGCTAAAAGCACAGTATACAACCCAAGAAAAAGAGTTCACAACCTTTACCCCTTACAAATGAGTTTAGCTACATATAGTCATAGGGAAATCAAAAGTAAAACAAAAAGAACTGCAATGGAAAAGTACATGCAAGAGTGAAACAAGGAGCTGAAGTTCAGCTCCTTGTGGGCCTCTCTCTCTTTCCTTAGCTTCAGCAACGACTTCGAGATTCCACATTCTTCTTGCCTTTCTCGAACTGACTTTAGAAGGATTTCTTGAAGTGAGGGTTGATTGATGTAACAAATGTGTGGAGGCTTCCTTAAATGTTGCTTTTATACCCCTATTTGTTTTTAGGGCAACAAACAACATTCGTGGACCCCAACTCTCACTTCCAGGTAATTTCTTCATTTACTGTGGTAACTCCCAGATTACAGCTCTGTCATTGTCACTGTTAGCATGTTGCTTTCCTACAGTTTTTCTGGTTGCAACGTTGTAGCATAGTTGATGTTGTAACAAAGTGCCCAAAATTAGAACTTCTAACAAAATTCACAAGGCTAAGAAGACTAGAAGTATTCGATCACTTCAGACAACACTTAATGTATAATGGGTGTTAGTGTTCCTTAGTTAATTTATATGGAATTTCTTGCCCAAATAACTCTCTTTTAAGGAGTTATCATGCAACTACTCTGTGCATTCTCTGTCTCAGTGAACTCTTGGCATCCCCAAATTCTGACACATAAATAGATCTCTCGTGGCATGTCGCCACTACCTTATATTCCCTCTTGAGCTTACAGCAACCCCCAACAAACTCACTGTTGTGGCCATCGTCGTATAGCTTCCTTGCAGCTAACAAATTCAATCTAAAGCTAGGAATATACTTAAAGTCTCGCAACACCAACTCGATCCCTTCACATGTCTTTAAACAAACATCTCCAATTCCTCTAACCTTGGAGACAATCTCATTCCTCATCTTCACTGAGCCATAATTACCTGCAGCAAAGGATGTCTGAAGTAATATGCGTGGATGCTACAGTATCCACTACCACTTTGATGAATAGTCTACAAATGCGTTCCTCTCAATCAAGCTAGGAACTTTTCAATTCGTTCTTCTCTTATTACAACATTTGCAGAATTGTTCCCCTTCTCAAAATCTTCTTTGAAGTTTCTGCATAAGCGTTTAATATTCCCCTTCTTGTGGCAGTAATAACACTTCACTTCTCCACTGGAACTCCCACTACCACTGTTATTTCTATACTGCTACTTCCCCGTGTAATTTATCTTGGACTTTCCCTTGTCGTGAGCTACCAAAACTGATTCAACCCTGTTTTCTGCCCTTAAAGTAGATGCAGACATTTTTCCCAATTTTCTTTGGGTTTCCTCAAATAACGCAGCATCACAAGCATCTGAAAATTTTAGACTATTGTCCCCTAATGAATTCGACACTACCGTCTTCATCGTCTCCAAATTGTCAGGCAAAGATGTCAATAGCCTCATAGCCTTCATCTCCTCATCAATTTTGATGTTCATACCTTCTAGTTTGTTCAAATATCGGTAAGCTCATGAATGTGAGAATTCACCGAGGTTCCCTCCTTCATGTGAATATTGAAATACTTCGTCCATAGAATTATTTTTGTATTGGCAGAAGGTTTCTCATTCCTGTCTTGCAAGGTCTTCAACAGTTCTTTTGCTGTTGTCTCCTTCGCCACCAGACTGCATACCCTCATCAATAAAGACACTTTGATGTTTGCAACAGCCTGCTCATCCATCTCTTTCCAATCCTTGTCGGTCATCTCCGCTGGTCTCTCTCCCAAAGTCTTTTGTATCTTCTTGCACGTAAGAAGATCCTTCACTTGCATCTTTCAAAAACTGAAACTCTCTCATGTGAACTTCAGATTCCTTTCGTAGTAATGGTGTACGTGATGTTGGCTTTTCGAGCTTCAATCATACCATATGTTTTGATGATAACAAACTTAATCTACTGATGATTTTTGTGTTTCAAAGTATCCATAGCATAAAGCATAACAAGACAAATCCACACAATTTGAATGGCTCAAATCCGAGTTTAAATGAAGAAGTTATGATCAAAACAAGTCGAACGGAAAATACCCGAGAAGATGAGTGAGCGAATTTTATGTTGATACATGGCGAGCTGTATTATTAAAAAAAAAGTTACCGTTTGAAAAAGAAAAAAAAACCTAGTTACCTTTACATATATATACATATATACATATATAGACATATATACATATATATACATATATATATATATAGATATATTATATTATAATATAATGTAATGTAATGTAATGTAATCATTACTTTTTAGAATTCAATCTCCACCTTTCATCTTCAATCATTAAGATCCAATCACCCAAATTGATTTTAGTTTCAAATCAATTTTACCCACTTTCTTCTCCTATTTAAATCCATCTCCTCCCCCACTTTTACATAACCAATTTTTCTTATTTTAAGATCCTCCATAATTCATTGTTGCTCTCTCCAAGCTCTCAATTCTACCTTCATTTTTATGACCCTTTGCCTTAGGATTAGTCAGTTCTATTTCTCGATGGGGGCAAGGGAAGGGATATAACTCAGCGGTAGAGTGTCGCCTTGACATGGCGGAAGTCATCAGTTCGAGCCTGATTATCCCTAAACCCAATGTGAGTTTTTCTATTTTTACTTGCTCCCCCGCCGTGATCGAATGAGAATGGATAAGAGGCTCGTGGGATTGAAGATTTTCTTGTTGTGAGGATTGATGTATTTGTGAGCTTAAATTTGTAAATCTATTCTATTTGAGAGTTTTAGTGTGTGAAAAATTCTTATTTCCACACTTATTTGGGTTTCGTTCTTGAGCCCGGTAAAAAGAACGAAGTGTGAGTTTTAATCTTTGTCCCGAGCAAAAGGTTGGGTTTAGTTCTAGATCCTGTATAAAGAGTACTTTGTAAGGTTTGGTCTTGATCTCGCAAAAGGACCGAGTTTTCGATCTTGAACCCATAAAAGGATGGGAAATTTGAAATTTTGACACCTCCCATAATTCACTTTGAATTTATGACCCCATTTTGAAAAAAACTAATCTATGACCCTACCTTCCTTATTTATTAATAATTTCATAATTTTTAAATGTGAAATCACTGTAGTACCCTCATCATGTTTCAAAATCAACATCTCTCCCTCCACAAATCTCTTTACAAATCTTTATTCCCTCCACAAATATCTCACAATAATTAATTACATCCCTAAGAAAATCTAACTTTTAAGAAAAATATATAACTCAAATAGTAAATTAAAAGTTTAATATGGAAAAAATAAAAAACGTACATAATTACATAATTTGTGCGAATTTAATTACAAAAAAGTCAAGATTACAAAAATCTCGGGACAATATTGCATTAAATACTCGAGATTTAATTGATAACAATAGGGTCAAGAGGAGGGAGAATGCAAAAAAAAAAAAATTGGAATTAAAATGTGAGGATTTGAGTGGATAAACATGAGGGGGGAAGAAGTATGGGGTTTTGCACGTCGAAAACAAAACCCCATGCTCCTTTTATGCTTTAT